CAACGTTTTTTATACCCAAACATGAAGAAAAAATGGTGGTAAATGTCGCCATATTATTTTTTTGCCCTTTGGGCTAATGGTCAAACATGTATGTCGTCGAAATCTCCAATTAGAGGACAACGTTTTTTTTACCAAATCCATTTTAGGAAACGTTCCTTTCAACTGTCAAAATGTTGCTATAAATCAAGTATCTCATTTGAACCAAAGTTTGCAAAATAGGAAGATGAGACTTATTGGCCCACTTCTTCTAATACCTATCCCACAAAGGGTCACAATTTTAAAAATTTTTAAAACTCATATGAAGCGAACGAAATATGGAATTTCATCCAAACTTTGCATGAACGGAATATATCAATTTCATAACTAATATTTTTACCAAGCTAAGATTATGTCTGAAAGTGTGATCCGTCGGTCTAATCATTCTGGTACCTTCCCCACAAAGTTTAAAAACTAGCAATGTTTATAAATCCAATATTATGCGAATTGAATGTCCGAACTCTAGTCCAATGATAGTACCCATCGGTTAACTTCCTCTTGTACCTCATTCTCAAACAAAGAGTGAAAATTATGAAAAAATTTAATTCGAATAACGAACGTTAGGAGTTTTTTTTTATTTGATTTAAACTATGAAGATGGTCGATTTAGAAAACGCATATTTAATTTGAGGCGAATGGAATAACCGATTTGAGCCATTGACTGCACATCGTGATCATTTATCAAACCTACATTATATCTGAAGATGAGATGTACGACAACTTATTCTGGTATATTCCCAAAGTTGGCAGTGAAAGCAGGCAATATTTTTGATAGAGCTTCGATTTTTTTCCTTATATTTCTATTATTCCTAGGACGTTTGGTATTGCAAAATCTATTCAAGTTCAGCCTCATTATCCAACCGAAAAGGCTCTAATTTTTCGGGATTTTGGGGACTAGTATATGCAGTATTCAAAATGTGTTTTTTATACCCATGAGAAACTTCAAATATCGAGATAGATACATGTTTCTTGATGAGAATATGCATAGAATGACTTTCTGAGTTGATTTATGCATATCCATCCGTCTGTCCAGGTATTCTTGTGAACAAAGTACTGGTCGCATTTATGATACGATTTGGATGAAATTTAGCACAAGTCACTTAGCACTTATTTGGCCCAAGGTTGAACCCAATCGAAATTGGAGAAACTCGGTTCAGATTCAGCTCCCATATATTTTTTCTTCTGGTTCTATTTTTATTTATTTTTTTTTTCTTCTGGTTTCCCAAGATTTGCCCGATTGAGACAAAATTTTGCACAGCGTACTGAATTTAGTACAGTTTGATGTCTTGTTGAAATTGAATTGTTGAAATAGGGTCACATTCAGATATAATGTAAATGGCGCACCAAACTCCCAAGGTATAAACGTATGCGAAGTTTTGTTGAAATTGGTTCAGATTTAGATATAGCTCCCATATATATTTTCGTTCGACTTTATTTAAATGATGCATCAAATTGTGTTGAAATCGGTTCAACTCCCATACAGAAATTTTGCTCGATTTCATACAAATGGTACTCCAGGAAATCCAAGTCTGCCCGATTGACATGCCATTTTCATAGATTTCAGAATGGAATGTGTGTGGTTTTTATTGGGTCAAATATCTGTGTAGATTACAAATTTAATTTCGCCCGATTCCAAACTGCTGCAAAAAAACAATTGGGTACCAAAAACCGCCACCAAGAAATCCATGGTACGGTCAGGAGTGTCGTAATGCTACTGATGTGAAAAACGCAGCGTATAGGGCAACCCTGCAGACAGTAGCAACACGTAATGCGATGGAGAACTATCGGGAGAAAAGGAGAGAGGAGAAACGTGTTTTCAGAAAAAAGAAGAAAGAACAAGAGTAACGTGAGCGTGAGCAAATCGAGATGTACAGGAGTCAGAATGAACTCCGGAAATTCTACCAACGAGTAAAACACCAAACCGAAGACTTTGGTGCAGGCACATCCTCCTGTAGAGATGAAGAACTAAACCTGGTGACAGATACAGACAGCGTGTTGAGGATCTGAAAGGAGCATTTTGAAAAGCTTCTGGCATCAAGTAGTGCCGATGAAGAAGATACCCCAGAACCAATAAGAGATGACGGTATAGAATGTATACCACATAGCCAAGATGAGGTCAGAATAGCAGTTAAGCCGATGGGCTACCAGCTGACTGGTGGTCAGATGCTGGTAAGGAGCATGCACCAGCTGATTAGCACAATTTGGCTAGATGAATGCATGCCCAATGATTGAAACCTCAGCATCCTGTGTCCCGTGCACAAAAAAGCAGACAAGACGAGATATGTGCCAACCTTACAAATCCACCATTGACAAGATTTTCACCCTGCCCCAAATCCTGGAAAAGACCCACGAAAAACACATCGACGCATACCACCTATTTGTCGACTATAAAGCCGCATTCGAGAGCCCTATCCGTTCAGAGGTGTTTAAAGCCATGTTTGCGTTCGACATTCCTGCAAAATTAATACTGCTATGCAGGATAACTTTAAGTGGCACAAGGTCGGCAGTTAAAGTAGGAAAGGACCTATCGGAGCCCTTCAATACCGAACGAGGATTCAGACAAGGTGACAGTTTGTCGTGTGATATTTTTAACATCCTACTGGAAAAGGTCATACGAGACGCAAAGGTGAACAGAAATGACACTCTGTACACCAAACAACACATGTTACTCGCCTACGCCGATGACATCGACATAATGGGTCGAACATTGAGAGCGGTAACAGCCACCTTTGAACAAATTGAAAAGGAGTCTGCCAAAGTGGGTCTGGCAGTAAACGGCGAGAAGACCAAGCTGATGGTATCAACGCGCAAGACATCCAGTAGACTCGGACCAACTTGAGAACTACAGCTTCAAGCTAGTCAAAGATTTTCTATACCTTAGTACTGCCATAAATAAAACGAATGACATTAGTTTTGAAATTCGGAGAAGGATTGTGATGGCCAACAGTTGCTACTATGGTCTAAGTAAGCAGTTTAGAAACAAGGCCAACTCCCGCCAGTCCAAACTCACACTTTACAAGACGCTGATACTACCCGTGCTATTATATGGATCAGAAGCATGTGTACTTGCGGTGTTTGAGAGAAAATTACTCCGAAAGATCTACGGGCCGATCTGCGTCGACGGTGAATATCGGCGTCGAATGAACCGCGAGCTTTACATTTTATACGCGGACATCGACATAGTCAGTCGTTTTGTGCTGCAGAGACTACAGTGGCTAGGCCATGTTGTGTGGATGAATGAAAATGCCCCAGCTCAAGAGGCATATAAAAATGAGCCTACTGATGGTTCCCGTAGAAGGGGAATGCCACGAATTAGATGGATAGACCAAGTAGAAAACAACATCTTGGAACGTGGTCTTCCAAATTGGTGGACTTGCGCACAAGACCGACGCGCTTAGAAATCTTTTTTAAGCTCGGCTTATGGAACAACCGTTCTGTAACAAGCCAGCTAAGTAAGTAAGATTCCATTGAATATTGTACCTATTTTCACCTCTTGTGGTGAAGGGTATCATATAGTCGGTCCCGTCTGACTTTTGATCTTTCCTAACTGGTGTCCATAAAAATAGTAAATCTGTATGAAATTTTGTTTGTTGGATTAACTACTTTGTAAATTCTTAATATATATAAAAAGTAACTCTGGGTCGTACTTATCTACGCTTTCACTTCTTTAGAATATTTTTCATAAACGTTTGTAGCTGGAATCTTGGGTTTTTAAAGGACATTTGGAAGAAATTAAATTATATCATCCATGTTCATTTCCAACAACGAACGGCTACATGATTAATAGTTCGCCTAATAAATGACATTTGTCTAGATTTGAGATTAAAACCTTCTTTTCATCGTCCCTCACCACCACTCCATTCACATTGTGTGTTGACTTTGCGTGTGATTTGAACTCGTATTTGAACTTGACTATTTATCCTTTATCCTTTTGCTGCTGATAAATCTCTTGATAATTTATGAGAAACGATTTGTTCAAATGTTTTCTTCGTCATTGTTAATGACCTCATTAATTTAATGTTAATTTTTATGAATTTATCGGGCGAATTTTTTTAGCCAGGCGATTAGCTTTTACGTACGTCTGTCTGGCTGATAGGCTGGATTGGTTGCCAGCAGTGAGGCATTTAAAATTCCATGAAATAATTAAACTGTCATTAGCTAATAATTGAAAGTCATTTTTTCGGTTTGGTAAAGGAAAAAAATCTTCTGCCACTACTGCTGCTATTGAGAGGCGCTCAGATTTGTCGGCATTGGGATTTTTATTTTTGGTGGCGTGTGCTGCTCGATGAACATTTAAGGTGGACCTTTGAACAAAATGGTGGACCTTTGAAAAAATATTTTTGGAAAATCGCCGATTTTTGACCAAAAACCAAATTAAAAAATAAGGAAGATCTTCGCCGATTGGCTTTATCCTAGTTCATACGAGAGCTATACACTCCCAGAGAAACGATGCAAAATTTGTAACCGATTGGATTATTAGTTTTTGAGTTATCGTGCCCGCCATTCGCAAAAAAATGTTTAGAGAAAAACGCGTTTAAAGTTTGAGAAACCCTTTAGCCGTCACTTGATGCTGACACACTAAATCGGATATATCTTCAACAGTTCTTGAGATTTTCACTTGAAATTTTGTAGAGACATTCTTTAATCAGTGTAGATTCGAATTATATCAACAAAAATTTTGACCCCGAGAATGGGGGGGGTCCCCTTAATTGCTTATTTTCCACAAGAGCGACATCGACAACAGAGCACCTCTCGTTGTTACAAACACCAAATGTTTGGTTAGTTAAGGCATGAATGCCAAAATCTTAACATTTAAATAAAGATTAAAAAAATCATTTGGGAAAAATCTTTAACTTGTGTTTAATTTAATTGTCTTGAAGTTTCTTGATTGTTTTCTTCTTCTTCGTATAAATCTGTTATAAATTCTTCTGTTTCATTTGTTCTCTTTTCCTTTCTCTTTTCCAGATTTGTGAATTTAAAGTCAATAAAGCGTATGCCATTGTCAGTTCATCGGTAAGCTTTTGGATACCTGGCATTGTCATGCTTTCAATGTATTATCGCATTTATCAGGAAGCAGATAGGCAAGAGCGACTGGTTTACAGGTGAGTTGAAAAACAACAGAGAAAAACTATTTTTATCTTCAATTGAACACACAGAACGAACGGAAACTTGCAACACATGAGTGCTTCAGAAAGTTTTTTCTTTGCAAGGTTATAGTAAATTTAACAATTAAATATTAATGGAAAGTTTGATCTGAAAAGAGACGAAAAAGTTCAGGAAAATTAAAATCAATAGTTATGTGGATCTGACCATGAAATATAGAATTTTTGAGATAAAAAATCTAAAACATATTGATTTCAAAATATATCTTGGAAAATCTGTCGTGAGTTGAAGCTCTAGAAAACGTTGTAATACTAAATTATGTTCTGGTGGGGAGGTAGACTAGTGCTACTGGAATCAATATCAACTTTGTTGTAGTAGACAGTAGAATTTTTACCACGACTGCTTGGTAGGAATCTTTGTTTTGGTATCATTGGGGTCATGATATTATGGAATGGATTAACGTTTGCCTTTTAATGACTACAATATGTTTTATTTAAAAAAAGGAAGCGAGATAGATACATGTTTCCTTTTGAGAATATGCATATAATCACTAAGTCGATTATGTCCGTCTGTCCTCGTTAAATTGTAAACTAAGTATAAATCCCATTTTCAGATTCAAAGAAATATTGACAAAGATATTACTATCTGCAGAGTTTTTACTCAATAGGATACTCCGTATAGGGAAGATCTTCACTAATTGTATTTATCCTTGTTCATAAGATAGTTATGTAGGCCCACAATAACGTTTAAAATTTGGAACCGATTAATGGATTAATTTTGTTTGAATTATCGTTCACGCCAATCGTAAAAACACTTACTTGTGACAGAACATTCGTTCCATAAGCCAAGCTAAAAAAGATTTCCACGCGCGTCGGTCTTTTGCGCAGTATTTCCAATTTGAAAGACCATGTACGGCAATGTTGTCTTCCACTTGATCTTTCCATCTAATTCTTGGTCTTCCGTTCTGCGTGAACCATCACTTGGATCACTTTTGCCTTTTGAACTGGGACATCTTAATCCATTCTCACAACATGTCCCAGCCAACGTAGTCGCTGCAGCTCTGACTAAGTCAATGTCACAGAATATATGGTATAGCTCATAGTTCATTCGACGGAGGTATTCATCATCGACGCAGATCGGTCCATAGAACTTCCGGACAAATTTTCTCTGTCTCATCTGTTTGTCCTGTAAAGTGTAAGTTTGGTCTGGCGAGAGGTGGCCTTGCTATTGAGTTCCTTACTCAGACCATACTACCATCTGTTGGCCAAAACTATCCTTCTCCGAATTCAAAACTGATGTCATTAGTTTTGTTTATGGCGGTACCACGTTATATAAAATCGTTCATCACCTAGAAGCTGTAGTTCTCAAGTTCTACAGTTGGTTCGTGTCTACCTGACGTCTTGCGCGTTGATACCATCAGCTTGGTCTTCTCGCCATTTACTACCAGACCTACCTGGGTAGACTCCTCAATTTGTTCAAATGTGGCTGTTACATTGTGTGTTGTTGGTGTACAGAGTGTCATTTCTGTCCACCTTTGCCTATCGGACCTTTTCCAGCAGGATGTTATAAATATCCCGCGACAAACTGTCACCTTGTCTGAATCCTCTTTCTGCTTTGAAGGACTCCGAGAGGTCCTTTCCGACTTTATCCGCTGACCTTGTGACAGTTAAAGTTATCCTGCATAGCCGTATTAATTTTGCAGGAATGCCGAACGCAGTCATGGCTTTAAATACCTCTGGATAGGCTTGTTGAAGGCGACTTTATAGTCGACGAATAGGTGGAATGTGTCGATGTGTTCTTCGTGGGTTTTTTTCCAGGATTTGACGCAGAGTGAAGCTCTGGTCAGAATTAGTATGGTCCAATAATGTCATTGACTATTGGATTCAGTCGTTCACACAGCACGCGGCTAATTCCTCTATAGTTGGCACATATCGTCTTGTCTTTTTTGTGTACGGGACACAGGATGCTGAGGTTCCAGTCCTCTAGCCAAATTGTACTAATCAGCTGGTACAAGCAAGTGGGTAAGTTGAGCGGAGTAGCCTTCTGCTATCTGTTGTGTTTGCGGCTTTCCGACGTCGAGTTTCCGTGTTGTGTTAGATCACACCTTTGCTGCTAAATTAAGACCAGTGCGAACATTGGCTCCTCAGATCGATCGAACGTCTAATATACTGGGTGAATTTCATCCGCTCCTCGGATCGATCGAACGTTAAAATACTGCCTTCCGTCTACCTCGACATGATCGATTTGATTTCTCGTTGTTCGATCGGGAGAAATCCAGCTGGCCTTGTGTATATGGAGATGCTTGAATCTGGTGCTGCTAACTACCATGTTTTTTGCTGCCACGAAGTCAGTTAACCTCACGCCGTTTTCGGATTTTTCTTCATGAAGGCTGAATATTTTCCCTTCGGATTTTTACATTAAAATCTCCTAGCAGGATTTTAATGTCATGGCCAGTTCAGCGGTCATATGCAGTTTCTAGGCGCACGTGAAATATGTCTTTGTTTGGCTCATCTTTGTTTTCCGTCGGAACATTGGCGCAAATAAGACTGATGTTTCTAATACTCCTTTAAAAATAGGCCATAATAAGTACTATTTTGGTACTAATAGGCTTTTCAAAATATTATCCACGCTTCTGGCTCTATTAGTTTTGTAATAAATGTGACTGAATGTAATCTGTCTATAAGACTCCCTTCAGCTCGTCTATGAATCCTCCCTACAGCTCGTCAATAAAGCCTCCCATCAGTTCGTCAATAAATTGTCCCTTCAGCTCCTCTGGAAAGACTCCATTAAATTCGACTATAAAGCCTCCCTTCAGCTCGTCTATAAAGCCTCCCTTCAGCTTCTCTAGAAAGACTCCATTCAGCTCGTATATAAAGTCTCTCCTTACAGCTCGTATATAAAGACTCCCTTCCGTTCGTCAATAAATGCTCTCTTCAGCTCCTCTAGAAAGACTGACTTCAGCTCGTCTATTACTTAAATCTTGACTATGAAGACCCACTTCAACTCGTCTACAAAAACTTCCTTTCAGCTCATTTATAGAGCAGACCTTCAGCTCATTTATAGAGCAGACCTTCAGCTCATTTGTAGAACCGACCTTTAGCTCATCTATTGAGACTAAATTAACCTTAAAACTAAGTATATATCTGGAAAAACTCACAAAATCTCGTCATGAAGGAATCTCTTTGGTTCATCTATGAAGGCAATGTCTATCTTGCCAATAAATACTCTCCTTTGCTCGCATATAAGGATCTCTTCTTTTAAAGTACAAGAACTATCCTTATAAAAACTGAGCAGAGTATATGGACTGCTCTCGTCCGAGCTCTCTCATATTACTTCTTATAATATTATGATCTCTTAAAGTCGACCAAGCTAAATTGACCCCTTACTCCCAATATACCTATGATATATTACACCTGCAGATAATCCGATGAATGTTACTGTGAATACCCTATTAAATGTTACCAAGTTACTTAGTTAGAGTAAACCCCCATAACCTCTTATTTTCAGTTAAGTATCGTATTTATTACCCGGAAAAACCATATCCATGGTCATTACCAAAGTGATACCGAATAATTTGAAATTCATGAAGGTTTCATTGGAATAAAATGACAACATTCTATGTGACTACTATATGCATACAATTCTCGTTTAGAAACATCTTGTTGCTAATATCTCCTCTAAGGGCTTTGCAGCATCTGCCCTTAATAGATTACATTTCATGGAATCAAAACCTAAAAAATGGAACTGAATAAAATATAAGTTCTAAGTTCATTTCCTGGCGAATAACAAAAAATATAATCAACTATAAAAACAATGAAGCAAGTTTCCTACAAAAAAAAAACTATAGGAACTTCTTCCACACACACCAACACACCAGAAATCTTCTTTACAATTTAAGCTAATAAATTTTCACACGTTTTTTCTCCTTTTTTGTCTTTTTCTCTGTATTTTATATTCAACCATTCATCCATGTCCCCACAATGGATTCACCAAAAAAAAAATCGCTACAACAAAAAACCTGAAATTGACTGACAACACCAACATCCACCCGCACGCACCCATTAAAGGTCGAAAGTTGCTGCTCTGCTGCTGGAGAAACATTTGCAGATAAGTCAAATACCCAAACCCCGTCCTAGCATACAGGTGGAACCCTCAACCATATCGACGATGCGAAGAGAACGCAAAGCAGCACGCACACTGGGCATTATTATGAGCGCCTTTCTGCTGTGTTGGCTGCCCTTCTTTCTATGGTAAGTATTTTGATGGAGGAGATATCCCATTTATTGTGTGAGTGTGTCTATGTGTTAATGGAGTAGACATTTTTTGTCGGGATATGGCTACTACGTGTGCGTCCGGTTCATTCTTATGCAAATTATTTTTTATTTCCGGGTTCCTTTACCGGTTTCCATTGGTGCTGATGTTGATAGCTACCTGTAATTTATAATCTTCAACTTTTTTCATCACACCTTTGTTCCTTATCTTCTTCTTTTTCATTTTTATTCGTTTCGTTTTTTTTCTTTTTTCTAGGTACATCACCTCAACACTGTGTGACAGTTGTACCACACCTCGCATCGTTGTGGGCATTCTCTTTTGGATTGGTTATTTCAATTCGGCCCTGAATCCCATTATCTATGCCTACTTCAATCGAGATTTTCGCGGAGCATTTAAGAAAACATTGAAGGTAAGTTGTCCGCATGTTTCCGAAACTGAGAATAAGTGATGATTGTCTATCATTTCGGCTTTATTGACTACCCACCCACCCCTACTCTTCTTTCTACCCCAAGTGAAAACAAACAACCAAACACCATTGTGATAAAACTTTGTTGATAATTTGTTTCCGTAGTAACACAATTTGATGAGTTTAATTTCACCCAGGTGTCATTTCCATGGAAAGAAATAATCTACCATTATGTTGACCTATTCCTTTATAAATGTTTGCCATTAAATATAATTCTCGAAATTTGTTTCAAAATTTAAAATGTAGTGAATTTTTAAAGTAATGGGGCGAATATAATTGGAATACCAAAACGGTGTAGTCGGACGTGGCAGACTTACCACAAATTACCTCAGGTTTACAGAGCTATATACCGAGGTGAGCAGAATTACTGACAATAGTCCCATATTTGCATACTCTAAATAATATTAGAATAGTTAGACCCCTGTAAATATATATAAAAAAATACCTCCCATATCCGACCACATACATCCATATAATCGATATCAGTGCAAAGGTCAACAGTTCATCTGTACACATACATAAACGCACAGGATACATAAGAATATTGAAGTTTTGCATGTGGATCGGTATTGTGTAGTAAGCATGGGTAAATATTTCTTTAATTCGCACTAAAAAGGTAGAAATTGAAAATTGTAGCAACTTATACAATACTGTGTTCCAATTCCGGAGGGTTGCAGTCTCTATGGGTTGTGTCCAGTGTTGCTAGATTCCGATTTGAAAAAATCTACTGCTTAGATGGTCTACGATTATAGTTATATACCTGCCTGAGATAGGTCTTTTGTTCTAGAGGTTCACGCTTGTACCTTTGGGTTTCTCTGTAGATTATGAAGATTTCTCGTGACGTGAACGCGAGGGCAAAGCCAGTCCAATAGGCTATGGCAAGGCTTTTCCCGATGACAACACAAAATCCGGTACTGCATTAACAATATTCGATTGTCCCGATGGACGGGTATGATCTTTATCTACGCATGATAATTATTGCAATTCCCAGACCGCATTGTGGTCAACAAAGTCTCCCGGGTGGCGTAGGGGATGTTAGACTCAAAATAACGGCTCTGATTGGCTATAACATGGCAAAGCCCAGGCTTATCTTGGTCCCTCTTTCATCTCAATTGTGGACACAGACCTCTCCGCGGTGTCACCTGAGATAGCTACTTCCGTTGAAATAGAGAGCTGACATGTGCCGCGATTTCACCCATAAGAACTATAAAAATAAATGGGTTGAGGCGTTGGGTTAATTGCCCACACAAGGGAAACCTCCTACTATGAAAAGTTAACAAACAATAAAACCAATAACCTCTAATTTTAACGACCCCCGAAAACGTATAAAATATCACACACGTTGAACAGGATAGGCGCAGTTTTCGCTTTGACGGATGTACTTAAGAAGTACAAAACCGATATTATTCCCTTTCAGGAAATGCGATGGAAAGGGACTGGCGTAAGTAAATCAGATGATTACGCCCTGTGTTACAGCTGCCATGAAACGAGACGTGAATTTGGCTGCGAAATGAGAATTCAAATCGATCATGTTGTGGCATTCATCCAGTGTTTTACACGTTCCATCCATCCGAGCATCCGAGGAGCGAATATAAATTCGGATCACTAATGTGATGGAGAATTATCGGGAGAAAAGGAAAGAGGAGAAACGTATTTTCAGAAAAAATGAAAGAACAAGAAAAACGTGAGAGTGAGCAAATCGAGATGTCAGAACGAAGTGCGAACATTTTACCTACGATAAAACACCAGCGTGTTGAGGATCTGGAAGGAACATTTTGAATAACTTACGGTATCAAATAGTAGCGGTGAAGAGGATATCCCAGAACCAATAATAGATAACGGTATAGAGGGTAACCACATAGCCAAGATGAGGTCATAATAGCAATTAATCGGCTGAAGAATAATAAAGCACCAGGTGCCTATGTATTGCCAGCCGAACTGGGAATGCATGCCCAATAATTGGAATTTCAGCATCCTGTGCACAAATAAAGAGACAAGAGGATATGTGCCAACCAGGAACGTATACAGGATTTAATTTCGGGGGGAGCGGTGGTGCCGCTAGAAATTCGCTGTTGCAAATATAAATGTACTGTGAAATTTTGTTTATTAGGTTCCTATCGCCTATCCAGCTATCCAGCGTGCTGTGTGAACGACTGAGCCCAATGGTCGATGACATTATTGGACCATATCAACGCGGCTTCAGACCTGTCAACATTGACCAGATTTGACCACCATTGACCAGATTTTCACAATGCGCCAAATCCTGGAAAACACTCAGGAAAAACACATTCAACAGCTCTATCCGTTCTGAGGTGTTTAAAGCCATGTCTGCGTTCGGTATTCCTGCAAAATTTATACGGATATACAGCAGTTAAAGTCGAAATACCGAACGAGGATGCAGACAAGGTGACAGTTTGTCGTGTGACCTTTTCAGGTTAACTGGCAAATGTTACTCGCCTACGCCGATGACATCGAAATAATGGATAGAACATTGCGAGCGGTAATAGTCACCTTTGAGCGAATTGAAAAGCAGTCTGCTAAAGTGGATCTGGCAGTAACTGGCGAGAAGACCAAGCTGTTGGTATTTACGCCCAAGATATCTAGTAAACTCGGACCAACTGTGGAATTTGAAAACTACAGCTTCGTGGTAAATGATTTTATATATCTCGGTATCGTTATAAATAAAATATATGGCATCATTTGGAAATTCGGAGAAGGATAGTGTTGGTCAACTGATGCTACTATGGTCTAAGTAAGCAATTTAAAAACAAGACCAATCTCGCCCGTTCTGTTGTATGGATCTGAAGCATGGATACTTGCGCATGCAGATGAGAAGTGTTTGAGAGAAAAATTGTCCGACGGGCAATATCTCCGTCGAATGAACCATGAGTTGTACCATCTATTGTCGACATCGACTAAGTTGACTAGGTCATGTTGTGAGAATGGATGGAGACGTATCAGCTCAAAAGGCATATAAAAGCGGACCAAGTGTTGGTTCACGTAGAAGCAGAAGGCCACGAATTCGATAGAAAGATCAAGTGGAAGAACATTTCAGAAAATGGTATTTCGGAGATGGGAACCATCATTTCACACCTTCTTGTACATGCCCCACAAAGTGTCAAAATTAGAAAAATTCATATGAAGCTAATTAATTATACGATTTGATGTATAAAGATGATAGGTCCATCATCTCAATTATTTTTAAATAAGTCTTTTATATTAAGTCTTATATAATTTTGTAAAAATCATTTCCATGTAAATGACACCTGCGAAATGAAACTCAACAATTTACACATAATATAATTATTTATATCCTCAACAATGCACCCACCCACCAACAAACAGTATTATCTACTTTGTTTATTAAAAACTTCCTGTAAAACCTGACATTTATTTTTATGTCCTGCAAAAGTAACAATCACTAACCATAGTCAAATTTTATTTCTTTCCATTTTCCCATTTGCAATTGTATTTTCTTTTCTTCGCCACTAATGCCGCACTTTGAATTGAATTGCATTTTTTCTCCATCGTTAACTACTTTTCTATATCAACAAAAATATCTTTCAAATCATTCGTTCGCTCATTCATTCATCTTCTTTTCATATCATTTCTTTAGATGGCGTTTTCATATCTGATAAGGTGTCTAACACCGACCACTTGTTAAGAAAACACTCAAATCTCATCAAAAATACAAAAAAGTATAACGAATAACACAATAAACCAAAATATTTTTGTTAGCCAATAAAAGAAAGAAAACGAAAAAAATTAAAAAAAAAAAACAATAACACAACGCATAACAATATCCTAGAATCCTCAAAATGAATGAAAGAAACAACAAAAATACGAATCATAACTAAAAAAAAAAACTTCTATTGGTATGCAAATTCAATTTTATTTCTTTTCCTCAACTACTGTCTACTGTGTCTTGTGAAAAGAGCTGTGGTGGTAGAGAATAATATTGTGAAGAACTGTAGTATTCAATGTTAGATGAATGCAATATCTAGATATTCAACCAGTATATAGATTTGTAAATGTGTAAATAGATTTATATTCTATTCTAGCCATGGACAAACATTTGAATATCCTCTTTTTTGGTAATATCGATTTTATTTCCTCGAAAATTCGTAAGGAAAAAAAAAGAAATTAAATCAATCAAATGTTTGTTCATCGTCAACAACAGTAGACGAAGTAAGATTAGCTTTTTATAAATTTCTGTATTTTACTTTACTATTGTTTTTTATTGTTTTATTTCAGCTTTATATTCGTAATATAGCTTAAGATTAGCCCCACAAAGTATGCTGATCCTTGGCATGTTATTATCCATTCCTATTACGAAATATTCTTTAAAATATCCACGCCTCAAAAATATTCTTCAAAATATCCACGCCTTGTAATAACCCTCTCAAAAATATTCTTTAAAAATCCACGCCTTGTAATAACCCTCTCAAAAATATTCTTTAAAAAATCCACGCCTTGTAATAACCCTCTCAAAAATATTCTTTAAAAAATCCACGCCTTGTAATAACCCTCTCAAAAATATTCTTTAAAAAATCCACGCCTTGTAATAACCCTCTCAAAAATATTCTTTAAAAATCCACGCCTTGTAATAACCCTCTCAAAAATATTCTTTAAAAATCCACGCCTTGTAATAACCCTCTCAAAAATATTCTTTAAAAATCCACGCCTTGTAATAACCCTCTCAAAAATATTCTTTAAAAATCCACGCCTTGTAATAACCCTCTCAAAAATATTCTTTAAAAATCCACGCCTTGTAATAACCCTCTCAAAAATATTCTCTTGTAATAACCAAAAATATTCTTTAAAAATCCACGCCTTGTAATAACCCTCTCAAAAATATTCTTTAAAAATCCACGCCTTGTAATAACCCTCTCAAAAATATTCTTTAAAAATCCACGCCTTGTAATAACCCTCTCAAAAATATTCTTTAAAAATCCACGCCTTGTAATAACCCTCTCAAAAATATTCTTTAAAAATCCACGCCTTGTAATAACCCTCTCAAAAATATTCTTTAAAAATCCACGCCTTGTAATAACCCTCTCAAAAATATTCTTTAAAAATCCACGCCTTGTAATAACCCTCTCAAAAATATTCTTTAAAAATCCACGCCTTGTAATAACCCCTGAAAAAATATTCTTTAAAAAATCCACGCCTTGTAATAACCCCTGAAAAAATATTCTTTAAAAAATCCACGCCTTGTAATAACCCCTGAAAAAATATTCTTTAAAAAATCCACGCCTTGTAATAACCCCTGAAAAAATATTCTTTAAAAAATCCACGCCTTGTAATAACCCCTGAAAAAATATTCTTTAAAAAAACCACGCCTTGTAATAACCCCTGAAAAAATATTCTTTAAAAAATCCACCCCTATAATAGGCCTTGGAAAAATATTCTTTAAAAAATCCATGCCTATAATATGCCTGGAAAAATATTCCTAAAAAATCCGTTCCTTGTAATTGACCTTAAAAAATGTTCATCCTTCAACACCCACTAACTTAAGGTAAAATAAAGCCTCCATTATTTAAAGGATTAATTTATAATATTTCAAGCTCTTAGTTTCGTCTACTGTTGTTAATGCTTACAGCATCAATAAGTCAGATTACATAGCATAATATTCTTCCCCCAAGTAATATCTTGTAGTTTTAAACTAGCATTTCCCCATTGCTTTTCCCTGCTACACAAAATCATTTACTGCGATAAAAAATACATTTCTTCATCCATTTACAATCTATCGTTTATTCACTTTGCAAATATTCACAATCATTTGTATCCCCCTTTTCTTTCCATACACAACAAAAACAACAAACGAACAACTTTCCAAATTAAACAAAGATAATTTCTAATCATCAATTATCCTTAGAGAAGGGAATAACAGTAGATTTGTATTCTCGCTCTGTACTCTGTATGTAGAGGAATCCCCCGCTTTATCTCCCTCTCGATATCTAGAAAGATGTATTGTGTGTTGTTTCCCTAAATGATTCTATTGGATTACTTAAAATTTCCATTAACTTTAAACGCTATAATGATAAATGCTATTATGTGTATGTGTGAAATGTTTAGATGTAGTGAAATATTTATATTTTATAGAGTCTATGTTTTAGTATTTTTTATTTAAATTTTAAAGTTCAGTTTTATTACACTATGACACAAAACCGAGACCATGTTCTCTCTTGGCGAGTATATTATACATCCAGAAGAACAAATTCGCCACAGGTTATTGAGTTATGTTGGTGGGATGCATTTTTTGCTGGTAACTACAGTTCGGCTATCTTTTCACTTCAGTATCTTTTCTTTCTTTAAAATCTATTGTCAGACAATTGTTAGCCCCCATATAAATAGCCCCACCACATTTTAAATTTGTTGAAGGTCATAGCTAAGTTTTTCAACCTAAATGTCAGTAATTTGTTAATTCGTTTTCTTAGATGATAAAAACCTTTTGTCAGACAATTTACCATGTATTTCCATTTATGCGGGATGCGATATTTAATATTATGCAACCCAATGACAACAAAATTACAGCGAGACAGATCATCAGCCCAGCTTTAATTATTCCAGGCAGGTCGGTCTTGTGTGCACCTTCTCCAATTTGAAAGACCATGTTTAGATATGTTATTTTCCACTTGTCTTTCCAACGAATTCGTGGCCTTCTCCTTCTGCGTGAACCATCAGTTGGCTACCCAACAGCTTTTGAGCTGGGGCATCCACATCAATTCTCACAACATGACCTAGCCAACGTAGACGCTGCAGCACGATATGGTTCATTCGGCGGCGATATTTACCGTCAAGGCAGATCGGAGAATCCGCATTTTTTTTACAATGAAAGCAAGCGTTTCTAATTTTTCCATTGTAAAAAAAATGCGAATGCGTCTTCTTTAACACCTGTTTTTATATGAAGGAGTTGCCAGATGGAAACAACATTTATCACAGATGGAAGTTTCCAAAACACTTAACTTTTTTCTGTTTATACCGCGCATTTTGTGCTAGGCTAAGAACTTTCCGAACTGGTGTTCGGAATAGGTGGAATAGGTTCATGTTGTTTTCGTGAGATTTTCCAGGATTTGGCGCAGTGTTAAAATCTGGTCTTTGGTGGATTTGTCAGGTCTGAAGCCGCATTGGTAGGGTCCAATAATGTCATGACTTCGGTCATTCACACAGCACGATGGATAGCACTTTATATGCGGTGGACAGGAAACTATTTCCTCTATAGTTGGCACATATCGTCTTATCTCATTTTTTGTGCACGGAACACATGATACTGTGGTTCCAATCATTGGGCACGCACTCCCCTATCCAAATGATACTAATCAATTGGTGCATGCTCCTGATTAGCATCTGACCGCCGGTCTTGAAGCCTGCTGCTTTATTATTTTTCAGCCGATTAATAGCTTATGTCGGCTTGTTGGTATACAATCTATACCATCATCCCTTATTGATCTCGTGGGAATATTATTAACCGCTATTATTTGATACCAGGAACTTTGCAGAATGCTCTTTCATGATCCTCAGGATCAGAAGGATGTGCCTCCACCAAAGCCGCCATTATGGGGTTTTACTCGTTGGATACATTTCCGGACTTCATTCTGACTCTTGTACATCTCGATTGGTACGCGCTCACGTCTTTTCTTTTTTTTTTTTTTTTTTTTGAAAATACGTCAATTTGTCGTTATGATTTATAGTAGGAAGACTTACCGACATTCGAGAGGAACAGTAAAACCGGAACTGTACTAGTAAAAAGTGTATCAAGATTGAAATCTTGTTGATAGGAAGATTTGCTATCCAATTTTATTTCAAAATACCAACTTCCAGTCCGTTCAGTTTGCCCATAGTCCGTTATATGGGGACTATCATAAAAAGTTGGCCAATCTTGATCATTTTTGGTAGAAAGATGTGTTAATCGATTAAAACCCGAACGAACAAATTACATCCAAATCAGTGCAAAAATGTGCCCATATTACCCAAAATACGGAAATTTGGGAGGGTCTGTTACATTGAGGTACCCAAAAAAATTGTTACCTAAATTGTTGCTTTTGGTACAAAATACCAAATTACAGCCAATGTGGAAAACATTTTAAAGCCTTATCTTAATTATTGAGAGCTCTATCGTGATTGCAAAATACAGACTGACATGCATAACTCGATATACTTCATGGGGCGTCCGATGAATGTTTCGAGATCTTGCCAACGGCGTGTCAAATTTAATATAAACCAGTGAGCGGAGCAATACTACAACTACAACTTTCTGTCGATCTATATTCCAAGCATGAGCAATATTTTGCGATATGTGCACCCTGTTTACAGAGAAGACGTCTCTTTCTTACCCTGGTATATTTTTTGAATATTGTTTTCTCTAGGTAAACATTTACGCAAAAAACACACATTTTGTCATTTTACACAGAAAAGTCTTATATGATTTGACCCGCTGAATATTTCATTCCCTGTGTGTATTTCGGCTTATAATTGTGGCCTATAGGGTGGCTTGAAAAAAAACTTGCATAAATTTAGGGCCAAGAACATTTAATTACATAAATATGATCTGATCATCACGTAAAATTATAGGCGTCGTCCTTGACCATAACCGGAAGTTCGTGTTAAATAGTTACGTATATCTTCCACGTCGTACACAAATCAATATAATTGGTTTCAATTTTATATCCTTTGGGAGATGTAAACTGATATACAGATAGAAATATCAGAGGTCTTTTATGGATATATATATATATATATAGATATATATATATATATATATATATATATATCCTTGTCCGTTTATATGTCTATCAGATGTAAACTGATATAGATAGATATCCAAGGTCTTCTATTGAAATACTTCGCCTCATAAGGCTTCTATATATATTGGGGATTTTAGGGCCAATATTGTGATATTGGGCCACAAAAACAGACAAAATGTAGTTTCTGATTCATTTCACCTCTAAATATTAACTGTAATAATCAGTTAAATAATAGAGGGTCGTCTTTGATCAGAACCGAGTCTACATACAAAATTTCGTGACGATTGACGAATGTGTTTACAAATTATAATTGACAGACGGATGGACAGACACACATTTTTAGTCGAGATATGAGGATCGGTATACTAAAAGGTATGTCTAGGTTCCATATTCCGCGGCGTTACAGAACCTTACTCATAGTTGTATAGGGTATAAAAAAATACATTTTTTAAAAACGTAATTTTCGGAAATTTATTTGCATTTTTTGTAGTCACCCTCATGCTCTAATTTAGTGATTCTATTCCTAGAGAAAAATAAAATAATATATCAATAATTTATTTATATTCTTCAAATGCCAAGTAAATCCAATAGATATCCCTCCAAAAATTAGCACCACAAATGAGATTTATATTCATTTTATTTATTATTATTATTATTATTGTTGATCAATTTTTATTTCAATCAATAGTTAGATGATTACATTGTCTGCATTTATAGCTATAAGAACATCATTCCGCATTATACTTCGATAATCAGCCTTCATTTAATTTTCCACTCTTTATTTTTTATTTAAGTCGTCATAATTTATGTCTAGTATGGAATTGTATAGAAACAATAAAAATTGGTAATAATAGCGAAATGTGTAATATTATGTCGTGTTGTCTATCTTTCTGTCTGTATATCAATATAACTATATTTATATATAAATATAAACTATTTATAACATAAATAAAATAAATCATACAATGCCTAGAGTGTGTTATACCTAACTTACCTATCAGCCTTCATCTCAATCTATTGCAATAACTCGAACTAACTTTGCTGTATTTATTTTTTCTTTTTTTCGTTCTTGCTCCTTTTCTTGTTTTTTTTACAGTCCTGCTGTCCGTACAAGTTCATAAATTGTCGTGTCAGCGCTGGCGGCGAAATGCCACCGTTTGTTAATTCCACGGCTTCATCGGAGATCCACATGAATATACTGCGTGCACGTCAGTATGCCACCTCGGCATCATCGCATCAACTGCAGACATTATATCAAAACTAAAGATGACGAACATCAATGGCAGCAGCAGCCTCCTCGACAACAACTACTACAACAGGAGACACAATAGAAGCAAATCCTGCTGAATCCTGAAAGCCACCATGTAGTTGTTACAGTTCTTCCCCCACCCACCCGTCTACATCCACTCCTCCTACTCCACCAGCAGAGTTACAACAAGTACGTAAGTAGGTAGTAGATAAACGAATTTGCTGTTAAACGAAATCCCAGGTTAAGACGTCACAAATAATCCTCAACTAAGCACCACGGGCATATCATTCATGTTTACAAAGCAAAAAAACCAGAAGAAGAAAAAAACACCGTTATAAAAAGGACATCTTCCATCCATCCATCATAACCATAACCACCACGACAACGTTGACGGAGTATTCCCAGCAAAATCTATAGCTCAAAACAAAAAAATAAGAAAACCAAGAACTAAAACCTGTCGCATACAAACATAAACTTAAGCTCCAATGAATAGCCTGAAACCATTTCTCTCTTAGTGCACTTTTGTGTACTTTTTGGACAAACCAAGCAACCAACCAGCCAACACACTAGACCACTGGGACACAAACACTACAACACTCCGCATTACAATAACAATAAAACAAACTTCCTCTCTTACACACAATATTGTCTGGAGGAAAAAAATGCTAGTACACAATTCTGAAACGTAAACAATAAACAGAAATAGTGAAAGTTAATAAGTCAAATAAAACAAAACAAACAGTTGTGTAGCATAAAATAGCACAGTTATATATATAAGTTATTCCCATGACATGATTACAACCATACCATAGGATCGGACAGATCAATGCGAAACCTTTCATTGTCGTTAAAGAGAAAAATCATTTCAAATTTCGTCGTAATTAAAATGCGGAACTTCGTGTTCTACACCGAGTCAGCTAATAACGATATTACGATCGGGATACGAAAATGTGGGTCTTGAACCAATATTTCATGGGAATACCCTCAAATCAAAGTTATGTATGTTATAAAAAACCTTTTTTATACCCTCCGAACTAAATCTGCCATTCTGTCCTCTAAATAATCGTTGCATACCCCATAAAGTATATACAATCGAAATTGCTTGTAATGACGTCCTAGGGACAGCGAATTTGATCTCTACAAGCGATAGTCGTTATAAGCGATACATCGTTAAAAACGATGTCCATATGAACAACTGTGTATTTTTGATCATATGTTGATCTATGCATATCCGTCTGTCTGTTCAGATCCCGATAGATCTCTCAATATTTCGTATAGAGCTTTGAAATTTTGCGCATATATTGCCAGTACTCCTAGGATGTATATAGTGTTGGAAATGGGATTTATCAGTCCACGTTATGGTATAGCCCCTATATACCGCTGCACCAAATATACGTTTTTTAACACGTTTTTCTACCGAATTGTCTGTAATTTCGCGTTTCCTACTGAAAATGTTACTCCTAGGATGTATTTAGTATTTAAAATGAGTTATATCAGTCCAGGTTATGGCATAGCCCCCAAATATTCGATATTTACGCTTTTTGTCGCGTGTTTCAATCGGATTGTCTGTAATTTGGTATTTCTAGTTCAGCTTGGGTATCAAATCTTCCTACTGTAAATGTTCATTATTGGTCCACTTACGATAGCCCCCATATAGCGGTACCTTCACAAATTTCGGAATTTTTGAGGAGTATAGGCAAGTTTTCAAACGAATTGGCTGTCATTTGTATTTTGGGTTCGCATTGTGTAACACATCCACATCTACCAACATTTATCAATATTGGTACACTTTCCACGGTACTTCCCAAATTTTGAAATTTTTGAGGAGTATTGGCACGTGTTTCGACCGAATTGGCTGTAATCTGGCAGCATCCTACCAAAACGTCCACTTCTAACGATACCTGCATATAACGGTTCCTTCCAAATTTCAGTATTTTGGGGAGTATGGCCACATTTTTTAACCGAAGTAACTGTAATTTAGAATTTTTATTCAAATTTGAGTAACATATCCTCCCGCCAAAATGTTTCCATATTGGTCAACTTTTTTCGTTAGGTAACGGTACCTCCCAATTTTCGGTATTTTGTGGAGTATGAATGAGCACATTTTTTAACTGAATTTTCGGGTTTTATCTCAGATTAAAAATCGGACTCCTTGTATTGTCAAGACGTCTAGGTCTGCAAAGAAGATCCCTATTGTTTTTGGTAATGATCGAATACTATTTAGGGGTTGTATGTTATTCTGGTCGCTCTAGAGGTCACATATATGACCCAAACACATCGAAATTTTCCACAGTGAAAGGGTTCTGACCATACAATAAGCATGTCTCTTTTGAGGAAGATCCGTCAATATTTAGCGGGTCAAATGTACTCAGACTTTTGTGTGAAAATTAAATCAAATTTGTATCCTATGGCGTATGTATTTACTGCTGAAGAACATAGACCCCAGAAGTTGATAGTACTTCGTAGAGGAGTGGTTGGCCTTGCAATTGATACCAATTATGTTGTTGTATGTATTCGGATGTGATGTTATACTTTAATATTTATGGCGTCAAAGTACACCCCGGGAAATCAATGTTCGGAAAGTATGACAGGGTAAGAAGCTTTTGACCTCTATTCGATCATATATTGCGAAATAATGCTCAGGCTCGGAATATATATCCGCAGAAAGTATGAGTTCCATGGCAGTTATATCGTATCATATGTTTTTTTTTTTCGAAAAAAATCGGAAATTTTTGAGGGAATTTTCGATTTTTTTGCAAAATTTCGTACAAAACTCGGAACATTTTCGTGTTTTATCCGAAATTTTGAAAAAGATGTGATTTTTTTGCTGAAAACAAACGACACAATTAAATTTCCCTTCAGAGTATGTGCAGATTGCTCAGAGCTGTCGACAAACATTTGTAGCTTGGTCTTCATATAAGTATTCAAAAATATGGGGTTCAGAGATTTATCCTTACCACCATGGTGGTAGTTACGAATTTTTTTATTAGCTGATTAAACCTATACCGAAATTTTATCAAAAGAAATTTCCGACCACCCAGACCATTAGCTCAATTTTGTGTCACCGTGTCATAATAATAACTGTCCACATTTTCTTTCCCCAGAATTTATATTTATTTATTTATTTATTTATTTTTTATTTTATTTTTATTTTTTGAAGAATATGTCGATATTTGAAAAGAAACATCCCCTCATGCAAAGTTTACATGATATTCAAGTTACTATTTTATGCTACATAATTACCACCTGCCTCAGCCATCCAATACAAATTATTAATTAATTATTACGAATTACTACCAAACTTTTATTTATTTCAAAAATGCTGTTTGATTCAAAACCACAAATAAATGACAAATTTTTCGAAACCAACTTTAATATCAAACAAATAACAGGATAAAAATCACACATACATATGCCAACACCATCTACAATTACGACAATCCCACAGATTTACATAGAAGCCTTTTCTCAACATTATTTATCGCCCCAAACCAAAAAATCCTTCCGAACCCAATTTTATTTAACATGGAAAAACAATTCAAAACCATATACATATATACTGTAGTTATATAACAAATGTGTAGTTTATGTATTTATAGTCATAGTTTAGTATTAACAAAGAAATATATAAAAAATTAAAAAAACAAGAAATTCCTGGAACTTAAGTTCCTGAAAAGAATACAACCCGATAAAATAAGAGGAATGAAGAACGTAACATGTAAACAAACCAAAAAACTTTTGAAAAACACACAGACATACAAACTTCAAACAAACAAAAACACACTTAATAAATTAGTCGTTGGTTGATGCTGCTAAAAAATGATAAAAAAATATATATAAGCAGTAAAATTTTATTTTTTTGGTACAGTTTTTTCGCCTTTATTCAAAAAAACCCTTTCTAGACGAAAATGTATTCGAACGAAAGTTTAATCGAAAGAACACGTTAAGGTAGACCATTTTTACAAATAGGGTTTCACTGTTACGAATTCGACTGTCATACGAATTAAATTATGAAAATCACTCGCTTCTTCCAAATATGCACCGGTTTTCGTATCATTTGTTGCCATAATGCCTCTCTTTACAAGTCCTGCTCTCTATATTTGCAAAGAAACTCTAGTAGACGACTTTTTCACATCCATCCTATTTTTTTCGGTTAATTGGTGTGGCACCGAATTTTGAGATTAGGACGAGAAAATACCAAATATTAAATGAAATACTGATGGAGAATGTATTGAATGTAAATGTGAGAAAATACCCACGAAAAAATGCCGTGATGTAATGGAATCGTGGTCAAATCGCTTATAGTATGTGGTTAAGCGCAATTGTAACAATAAAAAGACCAAACGTGTTCAATGTAACAATTTTTTCTAAAATAATAATAAAAAGCAAAATACTTTTTTGTGATAAACATTTTTGGGTTATTATATATTTCGGCCGATATCTTCGAGACCAATAGGTCTTTCGCTGTGGTTCTTGCAGAAATACGATCTAAATATGTCCACAAATGTACTTCATCATACATAAGTCATTTTACATCTTTAGTTTGCTGGCTTTAGGCGTATATATTGGAATTTTTTCAAATTTTTATTGAGGCAAAATACTTTTTACACTCACTGTATATTTAATTCAATTCAATATTTACTTTTCGACATTTCTCACAGAATGTTGTAATAATTTTCTTATGATACAGACCTGTAAAAGTGATTGGAGTTATTTGAATATTATATATGTAAATATATATATATATATACTTACCACATCCGTTCGTCTTTCCGTTTGCAACATATTTTCCATTTCCTTTAGCTTCTCCTCTGTACAAATTGGGAATATCGACTGTATAGCTTGGGAAATTCCTAAGTTACGTCGCAGTTGCACATTATGCTCCGCCAGTATATTCGTCAATTTCTCCTGTCCTTCCACAATCTCGTTTAATTTTTGCTGATATATTTTTTTCATCCATGTCCATACTTTACGCTATTAGTATATGATATATTCTAATTACTAAGTAAAACCAC